TGACGCAGATATTGTTGGTCCTTTTCATCCCAAATTCCAAGCAGGCAAAGAAAACTCAAGTTCAGTAAGATTGCCAAGATCCTGTGACAAGCCTCTTATGGAGGGTGCCTTGGATCTAATCTTTTACTTTCAAGCTCTGAATAGATTCTGTTCCTTTTATCTCCTGTCATTGAGCAGCTTTATGATCCTGACATCTATCACCATATATGAGATAATAGTGACTCAGAAGTTATGATTAAGAAGTATGATTTGATTAAAATGCAATTTTGTAATGAAAGCCTAATGAAAATTCACTACAAGAACATAAATCCTCTAAAATGGTATCTGCATTAGGCATGTTTATGATTCTCTTTGCTATATATTTAGTCCTAAACCCCCTACAAACCTTGGTCATAGAGGATGAATATACCCATGCAAGTGTGGGTATTTTAAACTGCTCTCTTGATATCTCTGGCCATACATACTTGTGCACACATTGGAGTAATTACCTCTATCTCTCTTCCCTGCCCACAGCAAAGCTTGACCTCTTCACCACCCAACAGTAATTAGCAGTTGACAACTTCCACACTTGTTATTTCTTTTCACGGGGAGCAAGTGCACTGAAGGGAAATGAGCTGAAACTCCCAAGCACATATGTCAGGCAAACAAGCAAAACATTTGTCACTCAGCAACTGGGTGAGGTTCCAACCATCCTTCTCCAGCAAAACCTGAAGGCCCCATGCCAAATCTCCAATCACTGATACATAAAGCAGTAAAAAAAAATTCTCAATTCAAATCTACTTGCAAGAAAGTAGATTTGGAAACTAGTGCAAATACTAGAAGAAGGTAGGTAACCAGATAATTATATCCCTTCAATTCACAGCCTTTATCTGTTTTACAACAAACACTATAGGAAGCATATAAATATTCAGATTAGAGCCAAGTTTTACCACAACTTTCACACTTAACATACCGTAAAATTCATGAAGGCATTATACAAACAAAAACAGGATTCCCTTTTCTCTCTTTTTTTAAAGGTTGAATCTAAATCTTTCTAAGTAGGCTGCTGCTGAACAAGAGCAGCTCCTCAGTGCAAAGGTCCCTGTGTAACTACACAGCATTACATGATTGCTTTGTGTTTATACACTTACATAATGCATAATTACATCTCATTTATCCACGGAATTAATTTGCATACTGGATGGTAAATAAAATGGAAATTGGAGTAAATTTAGCAAATCACCTGCAGCAGTTTGAATCTAAGAATGCAAGGATGCAATAATGTCTGGTAGCAATATGACACAATCACTTCCATTCTGCTACAATTTTAGGACGTGATGCATTGAACACTCTCATTCTTCCCTGTGTAACAGATTCATTTGATGCAGTAAGCCCAAAAAAGAGAGAGAGACTGCACCCAAAACTCTGGTCCTGAACACTGTATTACAATGGCATGAAACATGTGGTCATATAGGCATAAATTAGTTTACACTGAATCTGCAGGTTTGAACATCCCCAGTTTAGGATTATTTCATCTTTAACTGTTAGACCCATTCCTGCTTGCAAGGAAATAGATGAGATTGTACACTTGTGAAAAAAAAAAAACAGGCAAAACAAACACCCTGTCTTGCCACACAGAATATTTCCTCCTAGTTGACATTTGCATCTGAAACCTCCAGATAGAAGATTACTCATTCTGCAGTGATTTGTCCTTATATGATAATTTGCTGGTTTTGACAACTAGGTTACTTCATGGTTTGGACAGCTCATATTGTCACAATGATTGTTGCAACAATGCTGATCTTAAAATCAAGTGTTGTTGTTGTGACATTTCCCAGAAAATAGTTTGTAAGAGAGGCTGACAGCTTTCTGGTCTGCTCTTTAAATTTGTCATGCACCTCAGTTTTTCATTATGGTTGCAAACAGAAATGCTTCTCTCCGAAATAAAGCCAGACAAACGAGGGGTCTGCTTCACCAGTGGGTTGTACCTTAGACCCCTCTCCAGTTTGCCTGTTCTCTGATTGCAGTGGCAGATCATTGTAACAAAAGAATGCAAGTCTGGAATGTGTGATGGATCTTTTGAAAAGGGATTTTAGCTTGTTGTAGAAGCCAATCCAGCAGAACATCAGCCCTTTATCCCTGCTTCTCTTTTTTTTTTACTTAATATTCAGTCACTTTAAATCAAACCTAATTCACATGGTAATTGCACAGACGTGGCCTAATTAAACTTAATGCATCTATGGATTTTTACTTTGAATCCACCCCCTTGGTTCCCTGTTCACATTTTCTTCAGTGGCACATCAACATCTGAAATTCCGGTGCTGCACATCTTAAATCTTAATTTGGAAAGCTCTTGTAAAATATGTGGTAAGGGAGGGTCAGACTCTGCCTGTGAATGACAGAATAGTTAAGTATTATTCAGCAGGAGGATGGATGGCTGAATATATTAGACTTGCAAAATGAGGAAGGCCTGCCTATGACCTCTTTATGAAGCTAGCGGTAAGGAGACAGAATTTTAAAAAAAAATTTAAAAAAGAATAAATTTAACACTTACCCGCTCATCATCAGAAAGTCTCTTAGTGATATGAATAGCACTTCTTCGGGACCTTCTTGGGTGACTCTTATGCCTGAATAAGTAGTGGTTTTTCAGTGACCCAATCTGTAAGACACAGGCGTGCTTTAATTATCAGGAAGTATTTCCCCACTGTGAGCAAGTACCAACAATCAAAACCTGAAAGAGTTCACGCTGCCTTAAAGACAAAAGAGCAAGAAGCTAGCCCGTAGGTATTTTTAATCCAAACAAGGAAACACTCTTCCAGTAACAAGTGCATCTCTCAGCCTGTGTGCTGCTAGAAGAAGCCGGGGGAGTAATTTCATTTGGGCCACTCAAGTGCAGTCATTACAGCTGCAGGACTCAAGTTACACAGCGCTTGCACTAATGACCACTGTACTCACGGACTCACCTCGGCAAGGCCACATCACCAGTTTCATCTGCTTTTCCTGCGTTTCAGCTGCACAGGTGTGAAAAGCTTTGCATGGCTTCAGACACCTCACTGCGGGGCTGGGTTGTTCAGGCACCCACTGTAGCAGCATTTTCACTCGCTCAGCAGCCACCCGGCCACCGGGCAAGCCATGACCACCCCGCTGGCTTTGAATACCCCACTCTGCTAAGGACGGGCTCTTTGACAGCTGTGGGGGCAAATGTGCCGGCTACAAGGGCAGCAGGACCAAACCCGCACAGGTGCCATCACACGTAGGTGGGATACAATTTCGCGTAGCTGGGATCACACCTAAGGGATTTGGGAGTGCGTTGAACGCCGCCGTGCCCTAAAGCGGGGCTGGGCAGGCGGCCAGAGGGGCTGGCAGCCCCCGGGCAGCATCGGGGACACGGAGGGGGGCTGGCCGCGACCCCGACCACGGCGCCGGGCCGGGGACAGCAGGGTCCCAGCGCTGGGGGACGCCGTGCCCGGCACAGGACCCTCGCCGGGAGGTGAGGAGAAGCTGCTCCCTCACGGCGGTTACTCATCCCTGACAACGCTGACGTCACGGCATCCCAAAAAAGCGCCCGAGGGATGGCTGGAGAGAAGCCCCGCGATGGCGATGGAGCCGGCGGGGCGGAGGCGGAGCGGGGTCGCAGCGGACACCGCCCGCGCCTTCCTCCTCTTGCCCGAACTGCCGGGGGAGAGCCCTGCCCGGTGCCCTGTGGCACTGCGGGGTGCACGGCCGGTCTCCTCAGGAGGAGCGGAGTGCCCTGGCTGACTCTGTCCGGTCTCCTCAGGGAGAGCCCGCTGCCCTGCCCGGACCCCTCCAGGGAGAGCCGGACCCTGCCCAGTCCCGCCCGACCCTGCCCAGTCCCGCCAAGGAGAGCGGGAGCGCCCTGCCCGCTCCCGTCAAGGAGAGCCGGAGGTCCCCGCCCGCTCCTCTGAGGAAGAGCCGAGTCGCTCTGCCCCGTCCCCTCCAAGAGAGCCGTCCCTGGCCGGCCCCCGGACCCTGGGAGGCTGCGGTGGGAGACCGGGAGCTTTAAAACTCCCCGGAGCCCCGCGGGCGGCAGCCGGGCGCAAGTTTGAGGGAGCGGGGAGGGAATGATGCTCGCGGGATGGGAAAGGAGCCCCGTCGCGGAGCATCTTGCGGGTGTCCCCCGCCCGGCCGTACCTGCCCCACCAGGTCGTAGTCCAGCTCGTCCGCGATGGCTCTGGCAGCGTCGGGGCCGGCCGGGATCTCCGCTGCCCACTCGTTGAGGAAGAGCCGCCCGGCGCTGCCTCCTCGGGGCAGGGAGCAGGCTGCCAGGAGCACGGCCAGGGCCGCGCACCGGCCGGCCCAGCGCCGCCCGGGCATGGCCGCGGGACGCGGGATGCGGGATGAGGGATGCGGGATGTGGGATGAGGGATGCGGGATGCGGGATGCGGCGCCGCGTTGCTACGCGATAGCGCGGAGCGGAGCCCTGCCTGCCTGCCTGCCGGCGCGGCTGCCCGAGGCACACAGACCCTCCGGAGCCGGAATGGAAATGAGTGTTTACACGTCAAAACGACGACAGCCATCCTGACGTCAAGTGTACCTGGCCCCCGGGCCGGGGGGGGTGATTCCCGGGGGGGGCGCGGAAGGGAACGGGATGGAGGCGGGGGCGCGGGGGCGAAGCCCGGCGGGCCCCGGGGCACGGGAGGGGGATGGCGGGGGGGCAGCGGCTCGGCGGGACGGGGGATGCGGGGTCTGGTCCGCGAGGGTCGGTCCGTGCCCGTGCGCGATCGTTTCCATTATCGCAGGTGATCGGTGAGCCCGAGCCCGAGCCGAGGTGAGGCAGGAGCGCGGACCCCGCCCGCCCCTCGCACCCATCCCGTCGCGGGTGGGTTTTCTGCCCCCTCTCGCCTCGGTGCGAGGGCAGAGCGAGGTGAATTTGGCATTTTTTTGATCAATTGGGCTCCTAACCCGGGACCCACCGGGCGGCACAGAGCGATTTCCGCGCATTGTCCCCCGACACCTCTGGCACACCACAGACGTGCTGCATTAATGGGCACCCTGCCCATCCCGGTGATGGTGGGCAAATATGTTTATCCTCGAATAAAGTTATTAATTTTGTACAATTTCTCGTTTAAGAATAATTTCATTTTTTTTTTCTTTTAATCGCATCCAGTGGTCTGCATGTTGCACTTTTTCAGCAATTACTTTAATTTGTTAAACAGTTATTTACACATTTTCATTTTGCATCTGCATTTCCCCAGCCCCTTCAGTTTTATTTAACATTCCCTCTACCTTTTCATTGTCTTTTCACCTGCTAGGAAATGCTTCTAAAACTTTCCCGATGTTCTCTAAATGCCCTTTCCCTCTGAAACTGAACCTTTTAGCATCTTCACTTTATGGTGCACTGTATTTCATGTCTTGATTCTTCCAACTTTTTAACTGTAAATTTCAGCAAGCTGGTTTTAGATCTGTGCTCCAATACTGTGCTTCCTTCCATTTATTATGGAGTGACAGATATGCCTGCCTTGCTCTTTACTGGCTTCTAAAATGGGAAAATAACCAAAACATAAATATAAAACAATGAGGAGAGGAAAATATTTTAAAAGATCATTGCTTCAGTGTCTGACATCTCATTCCCAGGCATCACCACGAGAGTGGATATGGTTCTGGCCAACTCCATGGACCCACAGGGATCAGGGGGCTGCAATCACTGCCACTGCTCTGCCAGCTGTAAGAGTAGGAGCCTCAAAAAAACAGGAATATGAATGGATCCCGAGAGGGGGAAGAGGTGAGTGTGTAGTGAGTATACTAGAAATGCCAAGAGAATATCAATAAATATTGATATAGGATAGGACACTGATAAAATGGCACTGGAACACCATCCTCTTGCTCACCCACGTTTGCTTTCTGCAACGTGGTGTAACAACAGGGCAAGGTTCACCAAAGCCAAGGCAGCAACCAGGGCACGTGGTTCCCATTCATTTTAATTTATTTTATTCTCTGCATGGTTTTCTCAGTGCTCACTGCCAAAAATATAATTTCTTCACTTTCCTGGACAGATGCCTCAAAGATCCCTCTGTTCCATTTTTAGAGTTGTTTCTGAGGCTTTATTTAAATGTGGCCACCTCGCCAAGCAATTTCTGATTCCATGTGGGTTTTTCCTGTATGAGTGTTACCACCAGTGGTAACACAAACTGCTTTTTTACCTCTCATTCCTCATCACTGCCCCTGCAAACTGGCATGGCTTCTTTGCTGCATTTTGTGTTAAGGAACTCTGCAGAAATATTGCCTCCATACAGAAATTAAATCAGAGTTGCATGTACATATAATGACAATTTATATCCTCAAGTCTTTAAGTAGTAGTTAGAATATCTACATCCACGGGAGTGTTTTGAAAGTCTAGGCACTCTTTTCTAAATGATAAATTCATTCACATGTGTTTGGTTTTTAAGAAATCCTTCCATGCAGGATGGTGGGCTGTGTACAGAGTACTGAATTGTGCTGGAGAAGGAGTCTGTGCCACATGGACTTGGTTATGTCATTCATTCAGGAAAGATGCTGTCCAATGCACTAAATTCCCATCTAATAATAGCACATTAAATAGGAACAGCTTGCTCAGCAGCATCAGGTGGAGTCAAAGATAATTGTTTTATGCTTCATAAACAATTTAGGCTTGTTGTTTATCAGTGAAATATTTATTTAGTCCCTACTGCACCCAGTGGTATTCTATCTGAGTGTAAGATCTGAAACAAGGTTGGTTATGAAAATATTATTTCTTCTTTTTAACATGGAATTCAAGGTAGATCTGCTTCCAGGGGATCCACATCCCAATAAAAACCTGGTGCAGAATTGTTTGGTTTTTTTTTCCAGTGGGAATCATTACATTCCCCAAACAGAAATATACCCTTGTAGACCTACTGCAAAATATTCCTTGCACATAGGTAAGATATCCACCAATACAGCATGGAACACTGAGGATGAAATCCTAAGTTACAAGGGCCAGGAGTTTACCTGAGTGGGGTTTTCTTCCTTATTGTCAAAAGGCATGCAAGTATTTAAGGCTGTAGCTGTGTTTTTGTACCCACATTTCTGATCCTCCAAAGACTTGTCCATGAAAAAGGGAGACAGGCTGGTTTTGAAAAGCCAGGTACTCACACACAGCACCCCATTTCCTTGCTTGTTAGTAGACATAACTTATTTAAGCCTGGTAATCCTTATTCAAAGTTCAAGTCCATAATCTGGAGCCCAGCTCTCTGCTGGCTGCCATGGTACCTCTCCAGGCATCTGTTCCTGGTGTGGGGAGCATCACTCTCTGCAGCTGGTGAAGCCCTGTGGCTTCACCACGTCCACACTGATGTCCAACAAACCCATCCCTTTAGTCAGAACTGTGCAATGGGGAAAGCTGGAGGAGTTCAGGAGCTTCAGCAGCTCTGAATAGTGGCCACAGCTCTGTGAAATTTGTCTGTTACAGGGTGAGCAGCACAGGCATGAAACTCTGCAAGCTGTGAATTGAGAAATCTGTCACAGAAATGAAAGTACCCCAGGAAGGGATAAAGTGAGAAAGATGCATTTCTTCTTCTTCTTTGTGCACCTTGTACAAGAGGACCGACTGTCTTGCTGAGGCAATGAAGGAAAGAGCAGAGATAAACAGGAGCAGGACATAAGGAAAATGAAAGGCAGGTAAAAGCACCATGTTTATCTGCAGAAAATTCAAAGGCGTTCAGGAGGATGCCACTGTTTTATCATCTTATTTTGTTGCAAGTATATTTTGGATGAAGAAAGGTATTATGTAATGACATTTCCTTTTAGATAGTGACAATGTAAAAGCCAGACAGGAGATTCATCTCTGATGTCATATCTTGATCAGCCCATTTGATTTTGTAAGATCAAGCCAAGCATATTTTGTCTACCCACGGAGCTTGCTTTCAATATGTAGGCTGAATTTGGGTTAAAATACTGGTATTTCTTGATGGGTAAACAACAAACCCTCTCTGTGAGAAACCAAAATAGGTGTGTTTAGGGAGCAGGAGGAGGAAATCCTGAACATGTTACTGAGTCCCTGCACACGCTGCTGGGTTGACAGGGAGAGATAAAACCAGGTCTTGACTCTTCTACCACCACAGACAACTGAAGCAGAGATTTTTTCTGTCCACTGCAAGCCTTGCTGTGACAGGAAGAGTGATGCAGAGACAGAGACTCATGCTGGGGGGACAGATCAAAGCACAGGGATCAGCATTCAGCCCAGTCCTAGACTAAGGAATTTTGGCTGCTGGGTATCACCAGCCTTCACCTCTTAAGGGTGGCCCTCCAGCTGTTCAGCCACCTTTCTTCTTTTATTTTTCCTGCAAGTGCATTCACCCAGGAGAAAATAATTTGAAATCTTGTCAAAAATCTGTTATATAAAGGGACCATTGGCATTTCTGCCTGTGCCTCATTCCAAAATCTTCCTGGTTTTAAAACCACAAGGCCAGTAGGTCTTACACAGCTGTTGGGAGCTAAATGTTTTTTACCAACACAAAACTTCAGCCTGTGATGTATAAAATCAACCAGGAGTTGATATTATTTTACTGTTTCTATTTGGAGGGTCCAATTTGAGGATGTTAACACCATTCAAATGGGAATTTGTGTTATATGTAGCTTTAATTTGCAAAGTCAGAGCACCACATTTTAAAACAAGAGCTGGAAGTGCAGTTTGATGCCTGAAGTGCTTGTGGTGGCTGCTGCAGTTTTAATTAGTTAAATACTAAAAAGGGCTGTGCTGCTTGTATTTAATTTGGCTGTGGACCGAAGAACACTCTTGAAACCCACTCTTTTACAGTAACACTATTTCTTTTTCTGCAGGAGCCAGCATTACAAAGCCATTGGAGGATGGCATAAAAGAGGCCATATGTGCAGGCAATCACAGAGGATAAGGGGGAACACCTGTTTTTCCATCAATTACAGCCTGTGAGCTCGCGGGGCATATTTATTCTGGGGGCATTACATTTGCTTGGGTAATAGCCCATGACACATTTCCAGTTTTACAGCAGACAAGCCCTGGGAAGGAGCTAATCATGTCTGTACAAATGAAACACAAACATGCCCTCCTGGCCATACACGTGGTTGAACAGGGGCCCCAGTGACACCAGGAGCCACCCGGGGCCAGCAGGAAGCACTTGGGGAACAACCTGGATGGGTCTGTTTGCTCTACAAAGCCAACCCGAGCAAAAAAGCCCTGGGAAAAGGCATAGGTGGGACTGTAGGAGAGGTGGATGCCCTCAGGGAAATGGTAATAATCTCCCTACTAGGTAAGGACAAAGTCCAACTCAAGTGTTTTACTGATGGCAATAGAAAGAGGTATTACTGCGTATTACTGGAGCTTGCATTTATTTTTTTTAATCTTGATAGAAGTGAACAAAGAAAGGAAATATTTTAAGGAAAATTTTTATTTTTATTTTTATTGTATTTGTTTTATTTTTATTTATTTTATTTTTTATTTGTTTTATTTTAATTTTTATTTTAAAGGAAATATTTTGAGGAAACATTTTATCACCTGTACCTGCAAACCTGACGTTTTAAATTTCTTCATACATGTGTTACATTAGTAATCATGGTAATGATTTTATTCTACTCGCTTGCAAGATCTTCAATAAATCCCTATAGAAGGATGAATATATTCACAAATCCGTTGTTGATTTATTTTAATAACAGCGTAATTAATATTTAGCCTTGTTGAAAACATTTCTGAGATTTCAAAATTACTGTTTTAGTTACATGTTTATTTTTTAAGGGGGTGGTTTTGTATGAGTATTTTTAGAAGACTAAGTACATTGATTAATTATTTTAAATGGCTCTTATGCTGTGTTCTTCCTCCTCATGTTCCATTTCAAGTAGGATGAAACAGAAAGGACCGGAAAGAACAAAGAGCATGAATACATGAGAGAAGAGAAAAAATACATGGAAAAATGGATTAAACCCCATTCAGAGCTATATAAAAACCTACATTTAAAAAATATCTTGTCCTTTTCTCTCTCTCTTTCTTTTTTTTTTTTAAGTAATGAGTGGGTAAAAAAAAATATTATTTTAGGTTAAAATTTCAGGAAAGCTGTCTTGTTGAGGAAAGCTTTCTTGTTTTCTTTCAGGAAAGCTAGTCCTGCTGAAGAAAAATGGGAGAAACTAAATTGCCAGTGCTCCTTACCAAAGCCAGTACTGGGTCTATAATATACACAGACAAGAGAAAAGAATCACAGAATGGAACAGGGTGACCAATGCTGGAAAAGACCCTTAAGTCCAGCCCAGCACTGCCAAGCCCACCACTCAGCTACATCCCTAAACTTGCTTAAAATTGGTCTAATTTCTTCATAGAGCATAAAATTCCTCTCCTCAGCATCCCACAGCTCAAAGAACTTAACTTTGACTTGTATAATCCCAATGAGGAATAAGTCTAAGCATCCTTATACTGAAATTAAAACATCCCCACCTTGGTTTGGCCAATACAGCGTCAGGCTTTGCATTGCAGATAAGCCAGGCCTGTGCCTGGGTTTTGCTGCTCCTTGGGGCAGTATCTCAAATGTCTGTGCTACACAGCCTGTTGTGCTGGGTGACACGTGGCCACACATCATGGTTTTGGGTGCTTTTTGATGCTTTTGGATGCTTCCAAGGGCTGCCTGTTTACCTTTATCTAATAACTCAAGTGCTGCTTTCCATCAAATTATTACAATCTGGCTTCAAAGGTGCAAGAGTTTGGGCTACTGAGGTATCAGCAACAGCTGGAAAATATTTCTTTAAATATTCTTGGAGTCCAGGTTTACCTGCGGTAAAGCAATGACATTTCAAAGTAAATCACTTGGCCCCGTCCAAAACTGATAAACACACAAAACCAGTCCTTCTGTTTGTGTGTCATGAATGTGGTTGGAAGCATTTTTACCAGTTCTGTGGCAGCCAAAGCAAACACAATTTTTAAGGGTAGGGTATGCATTTTAGAAAATGCTTCAAAGATGCAGCAGCAAATTCAGAGGTTTTCCACAGTGCATGGTCATGCACCCCTCCATCCAACTCTGTCCCATGGAAGGTTCATCCAGGACCTCCAGGTTCCACTGTCTCCTCAACAGAGACTTTTCCTGGACCCAGAAAGGAATGCCAAGTTTGGGGTTTTTTTATATCATGTAAACTCATCCCATTAAAAAAGATGCCTGGATCTTGCTGTGCTGGGCTCTGCATCTGTTCCACTGCTGAATCCTTTCCCCAGGGGATTTTCTAGAGGAGTTTTCAAAAACCTTCTGCACCACAGGAAATATAAGCCCAAAGTGACAACAAAAACCCAAGGAGCCACCCTAAATTAAAAGAGTATTAAGTGCTGATGGTACAAAGTTATTAAATGCCTTCATATGTGTGGTGGGATGGCCAGGACTGCCTGCCAGGCCTCCACCCTGCTGCTTTCTCCCTCATCCTTCTCCAGAGAGTGGTGGGAAAGAAATAAGCAACAGCAGCAGCTCATGGGTTGAGATAAGGACAGGGAGATCTCTACTTGCCAATTAGTGTTGCAGGCTAAACAGATACGACTTGAGGGAAATTAATTTCATTTAACTAATTCAATTTAATTGACAATAATTTATTACTGCTTGAAAATAAGGGTAGGATGGTGAGAAGCAGAGATAAGAAGGAAAACCTGTGCTTCCCACTTTGTGGGCTGCAATACATGATCCTGTGACTAAGCGCCCTGTGCCACAGCAAATGGAGATGCCCTGGCCCTGCTGATCTCAGGGAGACTTCTGAAACCAAGAGGTCTTCTGAGAAGTCTCCTCACCACTCTGTTGGGACTTGGCTGTGTCTTTCTCAGCATCCAGCACCGTTGGAAGGGCATGGTTGAGGCGGGGACCCATGCCATCAATAAATACAGAAGAAGGGACCCCTTCTGAGCAGCTGTCTTCCCTGCAATTTTTGCTTAGCCTTTCAGTGTAGAGTTTGCTCCACCATCTCACTTTCTCATGCCCTCCTCCTGCCTAGTAGGAAGAATAAGATGGCACCTGGATCTGCTTTTCCCTTCCAGTTAGGAATAGGAAGGACCTGGTCAGGGATTTAAGATAAAGACAAGCAATTGGGAGAGTCAGTGAACCAAACTTGGACTGGAGACAGCCAGAACAGTGGAATAACTGTGGGGAATGTTTTACTGTTGCAATGTTGTGAGGGGCCCAGCACTGGAGTTTTATCATGTTTGTAAATTGGCTGCTTTTGTTGGTGTTGTGATGGCATTACTTTTGTTCTGGTGTGGGGAATATTTTGGTGTGAGGAATATTTTGGTGTGGGGACAGGCACCTGTGCAGGGGCTCATTCTCAGCCAGGAGCTCATGGAGAGGACCCTGGCATGGGCTTACTTGAGGGGGCTGCAGCCCAGGGAAAGGGCCTGTGCTGGAGCAGAAAGGAAGTCTGAGGAGAAAGGAGTGTCAGAGGGAATGTTATGAGCTGATGACTGTCCTCATTCCTCATTGCTTCACATTGCTTGGGTGGGAGGAGGTAGAGTCAGAAATGGAGGGTTGGAGGGGTGAAAGGCTGAAGGGAAAGGCTTTTTTAGTTTCCATCTGGCTGGGATGGAGGTCATTTCCCTCACAGCACCGTGTGTGTGATGCATTTGCTGTGAGCTGTGCTGTTCACCCCACATTGAGGTTTCCTCTCTCTTTCCTCCACCCTGTCCCAAAGCAAGCAGTCTGGGAGTGGGATGGAAGTTAGGAGGGGACATGGAGATATTCAAGCTGACCCTGGGGCTATCCCATGCCGTGTGATGTCAGGCTCAGCATAAAAGCTCAGGGAAAGGAGGAGGAAGATGGGATGTTGGTGATTATGGCATTTGTCTTTGCAAGTGGCCATTAATCAAGCTGAGGCTCTGCTTCCCAGGAAGCAGCTGGACATCTGCCTGCCAGTGGGATGTACTGAATGAATCCTTTCTTTTTCTTTGATTACATGGGCAGCTTTTGTGTTGCTTAATAAACTCCATTATCTCAACCCGTGACTCTCTTCGCCTCCCTTTGAATTTTTTCCTCCCCAGCAAAAGGGAATGAGTGAAAGGCAGGGTGGATGCTTGGATGCTGGCTGGGGTCAGCCCACTGCAATGTGTCATCAGCATCTATAAATCATCACAAGGGTAATGTGCCTGTTGAGATTTGGGATTTATAACATTTGCAATGAAAGGCAGGGGAGCCAAGAGGAGACACGAGACCCTTTCCCCATCTGTAGTGTCTCAGCATCCTGTGCTGCCACATGGAAGGGATTAAATCCCCCACAAGCAAAGCAGAACCAGGAGCTGTCCAAGAAGCAGTGAACAGTGTTGGTGGGGTTCAAAAGGAGGTGCTGCATGCTTTAGCAGGAGAATTACCCCTAGACACATGTACTGGCATTTCTGAATTTACTGCGTAACCTGAACCCATCTCTTTGGGTTTGTTTGTTCTTTTTTTTAATGTTACATTCCACACAGTGTCTGCCAGTTATTTAAGAAATATTTCCTTTGTCACCTACAAAAGTAGCAGTTTCATGTGACACTGGATGTTTTAATCTCATCCTGTATTTGAGGAAAGCCCCAAAAGAAGAAGTGTGTATGTCTTAAAGAGCATTCCCCAAATCACCTTTCTTATGCCAAACAATCACAGAAATGTATTCCTCCTGCATACAAAAGACATGTTGGAATTTCCCCAGCTGCCACTGCTGGATCCAGGGAAGAGCAATCTGTCATCCTTTCCTCTAGGAAAAGACAATTCAGGCAGAGCACAGAGCCAAAGGATTGGGGAGGACCTTGCAGGACAAACAAAGCCAACCATGTAAGCAGAGAAAATTCAGCTCCCAACAAGCTAAAATTAATTCCAGTGACAGTTGAAAACATTAAGCATCTTCCAAGATGATGGTGTCTAGCCACAGGCAAAAATGTCCTTTCTGGGGAATACAGTCACTCGAGTATCATCAGAAAAGAGATGTAAAAGGTTAGGAAAATCAAAGCACATGCATTTCAAATTTCAGTCATCTCACACAAATGTTTCAGTAGTCCTGCAAAAGCCACCAGACTGAGTGCAGAACAAAAGGTATCCCACCATAATTTGCTGGGGAATTGAATGGACCTACATAAATAGAAATACTTGGGGTTTCTTGGAATTTTACAGAACGTTTAACAAGCCCCATTCTCTGCAATAAGGTATCATGGACAGCCTGCTTTTATCTAAGCTGCTTTCCATCAACCCATTTCCTTTGTCTTCAGTTGCTCCTGATGTGTTTGAACAGATGTCACATAAAGATGTATTTAGTCACATTAAAATCAAAGCCTTTGTTTAGATGCAAGCAAGCACTCCCAGTTAGCTCCCCATAGATCAGATACTTCTGTATTTTATTGTTCAAATCTACCAAGGTAAAACAGTTCCATCCAAGATTAATA